TGTTCTGTCGTAGAAAGAGATTTGCATAAATGATCTTGGAGTTATCAAAGGAAGGCTGAACTATTTCAGACTATAACTATTAAAAACACATTGAAACCAAACATAAAAAAATTTTAAAGTAAAATAAATGGGGTTATACCTACAATATCCATAATAAATATATTGTTCACTGCACAGTATAGTTTTTTTGTCATTCTAAATTACTAGGTAGAACTGCATAGAATCAATGTAGTTCCTTTCTAATATAGTACCATTACAAATCGTTGTCCTGTTTAAATGACAGTGGTCAAAATCAGTATACTTAACATCAGCCAGCCAGCCTTCCTTTCCCAGTCGTTTCATGTGTGATAAAAGGACACTGAAGGTGGAACACATTCTGATTTACCTATGACCTCTATTGTTGTCAATAATTCTGTTACCTAATGATGATTTGATTCACTGTTTCACCTGAAAATAATGGGAATTATCTCATAGGTTGTTTGCAAAGACAGACTGTAGTACTGTATTTCCAATGCTTGGCACAATGCTCAAACCAAAACAGAAATTCAACAAGTGGCACCAATATTGTATAACTGCTTAGACTTAAATCTGTGTCCTCAATTCTATTCCATTGATCAGTGTGTCAGTTTTTATGCCAGTGCATTCTTTTTTTTTAAAACAATAGCTTTAGAGTATAATATGAAATCAAGGAAGATGATGCCTCCAGCTCTCCTTTTATTATTCAGAATTGTTTAGGCTATCCTGGGTTTTTTATGTTTCCATATTAAATTTGAGATCTTTTTTTCAATTTTTGTGAAGAATTATGTTAGCTTTTTATTTTTAAATTGTTTTAATTTTAGTTTTGTGTATGAATGTTTTGCCTGCATGTCAGTGCACCACATGTGTGCAATGCCCTCAGAGGCCAGAGGAGGGTGTTGGATCCCCTGGAACTGGAGTCATTTATGGTTATTAGCTACCATGTGTGTGCTGGGAACTGAACCTGGGTCCTCTGCAAGACCAGCCAGAGTGTTCTTAACTGCTGACCCAACTCTCCAGCCCGTGTTTAAGTTTTACTTGGTATTGCATTGAACCTATAGATTGTTCTTGATAGAATGGCCATTTTCACAATATTAATTCTACTGAACCATCAGCATGAAAGGTCTTTCCATATTCTGGTATCTTCTTCAATTTCTTTTGGTGTCTTAAAGTTTTTATTATACAGGTCCTTCACTTCCTTGGTCAGATTTGTTCCAAGATATTTTATGAGTTTGAGGCTGTCATGAATGGGATCGTTTCCCTGATTTCTTTCTCAGTTTGTTTGTTGTTGCTATATGGAAATCCTACTGATTTTTTTTTGTGTGTGTTAACTTTATTTGCTGCTACTGTGCTGAATGTATTTATCAGCTCTAGGCCTTTTCAGGTGGAGTCATTAGTTTCTGTTATGTATAGGATCATATCATTTTCAAATAAGGATACTTGGACTTCTTCCTTTCCAATTTGTATCCCTTTATTTCCTTTACTCGTCTCATTGCTGCTTCAGCTAAAACTTCAAGCACTATACTGAACAGATGAAGAACGTGTACATCTTTGTCTTACTGATTTTAGTCGACATACAAGACTCAACAGCTGTATTTCATTTATATAATGTTCTAGAGAAGGCAATGTTATAGGTAACAGAGGTGGGTAAAAAGGGAGACTGCATGAGTTGCAGTGGAAGTTTTGGGGATAATGGGAATATTCTAATATCTGATTGTGATGGTTGTTACATGGTTATATGTAAAGTCAGAATTTAGAGAAATAGCCAGGCATGGTCTCACTTCTGTAATATGGGGCCAGAGATCTGTCATACTCAGAACAACCTGGATCTTGTATCTGACATTAGTTCATCAGCCATAAGGACTGAAGTTCATCAGCGATAAGGACTGAAAAGTAGCACTATGATAAACATAGTCACCAATGCTAAGACCTAAAATTGGACTTCGGGAGACTGGACATATGGCTCAGCAGTTAAAAGCACTGTCTGCTCTTGAAATGCACCTGGTTCCCAGCATCTTCATGGTGGCTGGAATTATTTCATAATTCCAGTTCCAAGGGATCTAACACTGTCTTCTGGCCTCCATGGTCCTTGCAGGCATAGGTATGCTTACATTAATGTGCAGGCAATACACTCATACACATAAAATAAAAATAATACGTATTTTAAAAAAATAAAATTAACTGTAGGAATTAAGAAATTGAGTGAATTGTTGTAAAGCCACACTTCACTGTCAGTTTTGAATGTAAATGTGAAATACTCAGTATTGCCTTATGCATAAGAATTTAAATAATATTGGGGTAGAGAGATGCTCTATGGTTAAGACTGTCCTTGCTGAGGGCCTGGATCAATTCCTAGCACTCATGTGGCAGCTACCAGTCATCCATAACTCCAGTTCTAGGGGATCTGATGTCCTCTTCTGACCTTGGCGGGCATTGCATGACTCAGTATTTTTAGACAAAATTATTTTTGGTTTTAATTTGATTTTTAGTTTTTAATTTGTTCATTTGAAAATTTTCTAGGTTAAAATAGCAAAATAATCATTTAAAGTATTTGCTGTTACATAAATTATTCAAATTTCCTTTTACCTATTCAGTGTTTTATACTTGTTAAAACATACAGCTTCATTTATGGCTTTTTTTTTGTTTTGTATTGTAATGTTTTGTTTGTTTCTTTTTTTGAGACCCTGTAGCTCCATCTGGCCTGGCCTGGAACTTGCTATGGAGACCAACCTGACATCTATAGAGATCCACCTACCTCTGCCTTCAAGTGCTAGCCCTGTCTACCCGAGCTCATTTATGACATTTAATAATTTAATAGATAGGTAGGTAGGTAGGTAGGTAGGTAGGTAGGTAGGTAGATAGATAGATAGATAGATAGATATACATATTTTACACATAAAGTAATAAATTATTACTTTATTTTATGTGTATGAGTGTGTATTGCCTTTGTGTATGTAAGAGCACTCATGTTGTGCAATATCTGTGGAGGTCAGAAGAGGGTGTTGGATCCCATGAAACTGTAGTTACAGATGGTTGCTAGCCACCATGTTGACACTGGGAATCAAACCCAGGTCCTCTGCAAGATCAGCCAGTACTCTTAAGTGCTAAGCCAACTCTGCTGTCCCATTTATGACATTTTTAGGTTGAATGCATTGTATCCTTTTGTGTGTGTGATTTCTTGTCATAGTGAATATCTGTGCCTTCAAAATTACCAATTCAATTTTACTTTATTGTACAGTGAAATTTAGCAAAATGTTAATTACTGACCTTATGAACCAACCACTTTTTATTTTAAATGCTTTATTTTTGTAGCCTGGGGGGATATCTCACCTGTAGTTATGAAATGTATCAGGTGAAAGCAATCACCCAAACATCGTAAAATTAATTACAGAGTAAATCTGTTAAATTTGTTAGTCTAGATAGAAAACAAATTAATATCTTGTGCTTAAACTTACATGCAAATATTCAGTCTACCGCATGCTTTTACAGTTCTTCATTATTAAAACAGAAAAGTTGCATTATCCAATGTTCATTTTCATTACTTACACTAATTAATTTTCTCATAATTGGGATTTTATTATTTTTCTTATTTACTGCATTCTTATGCAAGAAAATAATTCCAGTGGAATCATATGCATTCATCACAATTCTGAAACTCTGCCTCCAAACTTTCAATTAACTATTGGCATTAGTGTAGTTTTCACAGTGTATGACAATAGCTGTGTGTTATTTGTCAAACACCATTTACAATGAAAGACAATATTTTCATGCAAATGAAACTTTGAGTAAGCAATACTAAAACTTGACTTACCAGTGCTGTATTTAAAAAGTTATGTTGAGGGGCCAGAGAGATGGCTCAGCAGTTAAGAGCACTGACTGCTCTTGCAGACGACCCATGTTTGATTCCCAGCACCCACATGGCAGCTACAAACTGTCCTTAACTCCAGGTCCAGGGAAATCTGACACCCTCTTCTGACCTCTGCAGCATTGCCTGACACAGGTGCACTCACATGCATGCAGGCAATACACTCAAACACATAAAATAAAAATATTAAAATATTTATATATAAAGTTATGTTAAACTCTTTTTGCACTGTTTTAATGTCAGTAGAAATGATAGTAGGAATGTAGACAATTATTTTTAAATTAAAATTTTGATTTTTAATCTATAAATAAAAAATAGGTAACAATAATAAACTATATTGGGCAAAATGCTAGGAGAAAATACCCTGAAAGTTTATACCATTAGAATTGATTAATGTTTTGAAGAAAATGAAATGTTTAACTTGATTCTAACATCACATGTTCATTAGAGCATCATGTTACTCCACTACTATGTCTGTGGCTCTGCTTTATCAGTTCATGAAGCCTTCATTTAGAACTTTGCAAACCTCTTTGCCTGTGTTTTAAGGCAATGTCCTTTGAGCAAAGTCTCTCTAACAGTGAAAGTTGTTACCATGAGTCTATTAATGATTTTTTTTCTCCTGCAGAAGAATAATTGAAAAGGTTAACTTATATCTAAGAATCAGGTTTTGTGTATCAAAGATAGCTTAACAACATATTTAGAATTTTCTAAGTTTTACTATTAATAAAGTTAAAAGAAAATCCAGTGTGGTCAGCCAGTGGAGCCACATTAAATTTGTGTATGAAATACCCATTGTGCTTATCTCTGCTCTACATACTGCTCTGAACCCATGCTGCATTCTGAATTCTGTGTATAAAGTTAAACATTGCAGAAGGGCATATATCTGATGAATCAGTTAGAATAAGGTTGAAGTTTGGAAATGAGCAAAGTTAATACACTTACTCTGTTCATGTCTTTCATATTTCTGTTACTGATATATTTGGGCAGTTTTGTGGGAAATTGTGACCCTGCTGGAAATATGACTTGATTTTTAAGCTATTAGATTCCTATTCATACTTCATAATGTGTTTTACCATGCCAAAGCTAACATTCAACTTTAAAAACTATTAATTACTTGCAGGCAAAGTTGTTATCAATGCAGCAATCCAGAGAAACTGCAGTTGAACAATACAGAAAGCTGGAAGAAGAAATCCAGACCCTGCGAGTATACTACAGGTAAAACGTTTTGTGCTATGTTTAATACTGCTTGGGACGTGCTTACTTTGAGAAATACTTCTACTGGATATTCTCCTTGTGAATGAGGAAATACCTCAGTGAAATAAGCACTATGTATTTAAACATTTTTGAAATTTTAAACTGACTTAGATCTGAAATATTATTTTAACCTTTCATTCCTACATTTTGTAAAATTGAGGTTTACACTGCCATCAAAATTATCAAGTTACATAACTCATTTTATATTTAGTTGCCTAAATGAAGCCTGGTTAGTTGAACTATTTGTCCATTTAAATGCTACCCATCCTTTCTGTCAGCACACATACCTCAAGGTGCTTCACTACTCTGTGGTTTGTTGTCTGCATTTGTAATTGTAGGGAAGGCTGCACTTCTGTGAGAATTAGAGAAAATTCTGAATATTTTCCATTTCTAAATTAGGAATGCTGCTTTTGGAAAAATGTCAGTGATACCCACAGTGGTTCGTTACTGTTATGGGTTAAATTGTGTTCCTTCCTCCAAAAGGATATGCTGAACTTCGAGCCTCCAGTAACTTCATAATGTAACCCTGTTTGAAACAGGGTCATTACAGAGGCAAACAAGTCAAAATGAGGTCAGTTGGGTGAGCTCTAATCCGTTGTGATGGGTGTTTTTATGAAAGTGGAAACTTGGACACTGAGTTAGATACACACCAAGGAAATGCAGCATGAAGACACACAGGCAGAAGCTAGCCATTCTGTAGTACAGATGATGGAAAAGCTGTGCTAAAATGGTGAACCAAATACTTCTCAAATGCTTAGCACATTGTGGTCACCGGCTGTGGCTGCTCTCCTCCGGATGTGGTTGCTCTCCTGCTCTCTCAGTTCCTCCGATCAGTAGTCCGGTCCATACCCCAGGGCTGGTGAGGAGTCTGCGCCAGCGTTGCTACATTCAGACACAGGAGACCAGGTTCAGTGTCACAGATCTGCTTTATTGTAGGAAAGTCCGGGCTTATATAGGGGTAATAGTCCAATCATAACACAGCATATGGGATCCCTTATTAGCATGGCAGACTAGTATCCTATTACACTCTAGCGGGCCAGGTGCCCTATTAGCATGATAAGTTTCAGTTTCTCTAAGTTTCTGGTTCCTGGAAACCATGTGACTTACATAGCTTTCTCTCTGATAAGAAACAGGAAGCACTGCATTCCAGCATGATAGGTGTGTAAGGCAAAAGGCAAAATCAGTCACAAGATTTTCCACAACATCTCCCCCTATTTTTTCATTTTTAAGAGCGAGGCACAGTTCAGAATATATAGTATACTGATGTCAGTCCAGGGGCTGTATGTGGTGGATTTTTCTGTTGTGCATCAAGGCAAGGTAGAATGGCTTGGGAGGCAAGGGATTGATCCCTACTGTGGGCCCCATCCTTCAAGATGGCGAGTTCCCTCTAGAGCAGGCTGGGTCAACTCCATGCCAACCAGTGGGAGTCGAGGTTCTTTGCCTCGGCATTGTTGTCCCCACCTCAGGGGTCACCTAGCATTATGGACTGTGCCTGTCTTAGGTTGTCCCATCTTTTGGGATCTTACCCATCATTGACTACCAGCCGTCGAAGGGTGAGTCCCTTGGTATGGTCCAGCAGAGGGAGAGGCAGTGTATCAAGGTTTGGCCTGTGCAAAGGCCTCTTAAGGGGCTAAGAATTCAATAAAATCTGATGGAGTGGGGTCGTCCCATCTGGAGTAACAATGGGGATTAGGGAGTGGCAAGTTCTAGGCATCGGTCTCACAGTCTGCCAATAGGAGTATATATCACAAGGTATTTCCTGTGGCTCTGACAGTCAGGCCGTTGTCTCAGGTCCATTGCATGGTAGTTCTGTAAGACTTTACACCTATGCTCAAGCCCATTTTTCATATTTCTATTATTATAGGTCGGTAAGGGCAAGGAACAGCGGGTCCTTCTTTGCAGAGACATGCCTGGCAAGATCTGGAGGTGGGGCAACAGCTAACTGAACCAGAGAAATATGAGTTTTAACAAAATTTTCAAGACCCTTAACAATGCAGTGTCCAAAAATCAGGAGTTAGCAGTAACGATGGCACACATAATAAGGAACATAGACAGGGGGTTCCCTCTGGTTTGAGAGTTTTGATTGGCTATAGTCTCTGCTTGCGAAGTGAGATACTTAAGGTCGCCCCAGGTTATCGGATGTGCCATTGGAGCCTGTCGCTTTCGTGGTCTGAGATACGGGGTCGGTCTCTCAGTAGTTGAGAGGTGCGCTGCTTCCTCCAGGGCTGCCATCTCTGGGGTCGGTGGTTGTGGAGGGAGGTTTTCCGTTGCAGGCAATTTTGCTGTTCTGGGCTGGGATCCAGATGGGGGCTGGAACATTATCTGGAAAGACACAAGCATAGCCTTGCCCTTGTGTTAGTAATAGGTGTGGACCTTTCCATTCACTTGTGAGAGGGACCTTCCGTCTCACCATGGGGGCAGGAGTGGGCTGAGTGAATGCCCCCCAATGCTTTATTGCTGGTGGGAGGCCATTGGAGTCAAAGTTTAGAAAATTTAATACAAATAGAGCTTGTTGTATAACAAAATTTGGGTCCTTATAGTGGGGGCCTTTATCATTGTCTTCCCCTATTTTCTGTATTTGTTTAATGAGTGTTTGGTGGGAATGTCTAATAATCCCTTGACCCAGAGGATTGTAAGGGATACCAGTTATATGCCTAATATTCCAGTTAGAGCAAAAATGACTGAAGGTAGCGGAAACATAACAAGGACCATTATCTATTTTTATTTGCCAAGGAACTCCCCTAAGGACCATGGCATATTTGACAGTCCTTATGGCATGAGAAGCCGTCTCACCAGAGCAGGCCAATGCAAAATGGACATTGGAATAAGTGTCAATAATATGATAGATATACTTGAGCTTGCCAAAGGAAAAAAATGAGTGATGTCCATTTGCCATAACTTGTTGGGGCCAAGGCCTCTAGGGAGAGTTCTGGTGGGTTGTAATGGTCGTAGAGGTAGAAGAAGATCACAAGAGGAGCAGGCAGGGACCTAATGCTTGCAGCTCTGAATTGGTAGAGTGGGTAGAAGCCTATGTATATCTTGGGGAGAAAGATGAAAACAGGTGTGTAAGTCTCTAGCTTGTTGAATTATAGTGGAGTCTAGGGTGGCACTCAGGACCAGTTTGTCAATGACAGCATTGGCTTCTGCTAGAAGCCCTGGGAGATTGGTATGATAGCACAAGTGTTGAATATACCAAGCGACAGAGCGCTGCTCGAGTAATAGTTGTAATGAGGAGAACAACAAATCAAGGAAACTCTGGTGGGGCTGGAAAGCTGCAAAGGTCAGATGTTCCAGAGTCTGAACTACATAAGCACTGTCAGAAAAAATATTACAGGGAGTTGTAGGGAGATCCTGAAAGACCTGTGACATGGCTGAGATCTCTCCAAGCTGTACAGATCCCTGGAAAGGGAAAACCTTATGTGAGGAGAGTTTTCCTTCCTGGTAAATTACATAACCAAATTTGCGTTTACTAGAATCAGTAAAGATTAGGGCAGCCTTAGGAAGAGGGTTACGCTTTGGGAGTGCCTGCAGAAATAGGGACAGGGGAAGCTGTCTTATTCCTTGAAGGAGTTTATGTTTAGGATAATGATTGTCATATTTCCCCTGATAGACTAGTAGGAAGTTTGGAAGCCAGGGTTGTCAAGGAACAATGACTGGAGCATGTGAAGTGGAAGGGGAAGAACCAATGATTCGGGTTCGTGGCCATACAGAAGGCGGGAGGTGTGGACAAGTTTAAGGGCTAACATAGCCCACGCATCAATAGCTGGGGTGACCTTGTGAAATTGACTCCATGAAGAGTGGACCCATATCAGGGAGCCCTGGGTCTGCCAGAGCGCTCCCAAAGGGTGTTTTTTAGTAGGAATAACTAGTGCTTGGATGGGCAACTTTGGCTGTATCCTATTCACACATGCTTGGGACAGGTGAGAATTGATCGTTGTGACAACATGTTGTGCCTCCGGATAGAACTTGCAGGAAATGGAGACCATATCAGTACCGCGCAAGAGGTCAAAGAGCGGTGTAAGCTCTTCTGTGGACATGGGAACACGCCCTTATCCAATTGATGTTGCCACAGAGGGTCTGCACCTCTGAAAGGGTAACCTCATCTGGTAAGGTAAGAACAGGAGCTATGGGCCGAATGTCATCTTGAATAGAGTGGCCTAAAAAGGTATAAGGGGCATGTAACTGTATTTTATCTGCTGCAATACTAAGACCTAATGCCTGGAGGTTTGTTTTAATTTCTTGAAAACCTCCTTGTAAGATCTTAGGATCCTTATGGGAGATAAGAATGTCATCCATATAATGTAAAATATAAACCTCAGTCAGCAAAGGTCTGCAGGCATGGGCCACATAATATTGGCAGATAGTAGGACTGTTTTTTATGCCCTGAGGCAAAACCTTCCATTGATAGCGTTGAACTGGAAGGTTATGGTTAGTGGCAGGTATAGAGAAGGCAAAATGGGGCTTATCATCATCATGAAGAGGAATAGAGAAGAAACAGTCCTTAATATCTATTATAAAAATTGCACATTCTTTGTGAATAGCAGTAGGGTGAGGCAGTCACTGTTGGAGGGTCCCTAAAGGCTTCATATACTCATTAGTAGCCCTTAGATCATGTAAAAGTCTCCATTTTCCTGATTTCTTTTGTATTACAAAATGGGAGAATTATGAAAACTAAGGGAAGGATCAATATGACCCAAGGATAATTGTACCTGGACAAAGAGATCAAGTGAGTTAATTTGCCCTTAGATCATGTAAAAGTCTCCATTTTCCTGATTTCTTTTGTATTACAAAATGGGAGAATTATGAAAACTAAGGGAGGGATCAATATGACCCAAGGATAATTGTTCCTGGACAAAGAGATCAAGTGAGTTAATTTGCATAAAGGAAGAAGCCACTGCTCCACCCATATGAGAGCCTTAGTGTCCCACATTAGTTTGATCGGAGTGGCTTGGGCAGCCGAG